GGAAAACGTATTTTTCAGGTCAAATTGTATTTTCACCGATATTTCAAGAATCGCTTGGTTTTTTCCCCAAAAGTAGGGTAGAAATATGTAGAGAACTCGAAAATCAACATTTTTCACTTCAAAAATCGAATTTTGGTGCCGAGAAACCTATTTTTCAGGATAAATTAAGTTTTTGTCTAGAACCTTGGTTTTCTTGTAATTTTCAGGTTCTTAGGGAGCGGAAATTTGGAAAATGCGAGATAGAGATAGAAAATTTGTAGAAAATTTCAGGCATTTTTTATCGCAGTTTCTAGGAATTCGCATTTTCCCCTCCATTTTCCTGATTTTTTGTTCTGTTCCGATTTTTGCCATTTTTCTAGCCTAAAAATGCCCGCAGATTGATTTCTGTTTGTTTTCTTTGCGTTTCTTTTTTTTTTGCTCTCAACATCTCAAATTACCCATTTTTCCAGGTAAAATGGCCTCGTTGACCCGTGCCGTTACCCGTCTGGCCGCTACCGGCCGTCAAGCCGTTCGCTCCATCGCCACCACCACTCCAGTCTCCGGACACGGTGACGACGTTATGGAGAAGTGGCCAGCTGATAGTGAGTGTTTTTTTTAAAATGTATGCGTGCCGAGAGAGCGAAAAGAGCAAGAGCAAACACTGCTACGTGCACGAAGCAATGTTTTTTTGTTTGTAGTAAAAAGTATTGATTTTCAGAGTTCGACAACCACTTCATCAACTATCTCAACCGCCCAGAAATCGACGGATGGGAGGTCAGAAAGGGTAGGTTTGATAGAATTTGTAGTTTTTTATCTGCAAAAGGGGCAATGGCTTTTAAGAGAGCTTTGAAAAATTATGCCGCTTCCAAAGTTCCCAAATCTGCTGTTTGTGGGCCCAGAAACTCCAGATTCGGGAACTTTGAACGCGGCAATATAATTGATAAGAATTTGCACTGGAAATATAAAAAATGCCGAACAAAATTCGATTTTTAGATAATATAGAGTCAAAATGATTTTTTTTCTCTAGTGAGCGGCTTTTCTTTGCCATATGAACTCTAAATAGCTCTGGATAAACTAGGCTATACATTCGAAACCTTGCTTCTCCGGAATTTCCCCTCCAAGACCTTGACTTTCTCCATAAATATGTATCTTTCACTTTCCAAACCTTAACGTCATCCATATTTCAGCTCTCACCGAGTTGCACGACTACGACGTCATCCCAGACCCAAAGGTCGTCGAAGCCGGACTCCGTGCTTGCCGTCGCGTCAACGATTTTGCTCTCGCCGTGCGATTCCTCGAGGCTATCAAGATTAAGTGCGGAAACCAAAAGAACCGTGACTCCATCTACGGATACATCGTGAAGCAGGTAAATATTCCTTTTTTGGCACTCAAAACACTGGAAACGTCGTCTCTACTTAGTCATATCTCTCCAGAATGGCTAATGTCGGAATATTCAAGTGTTTTCTCTTTTTCCTCTCAGTCATCAACTAAAATGACCACTATCATCAACATCCTATTTTGCAGGTGGAGCCAACGCTTAAGGAGCTCGGAATCGACACACCAGAACAACTCGGATACGGAGAGCCAGAATTCTTCGTGCCACAACCAGAATACTGGTGGGAGAAGAAGTGGTACAAGGATTACGGATACGACAAACAACCAAACTTCCAATATTAACTATTTTCTAATTGATTGATTTTTGGATAATGTAGTTTGTGTCTGAAGTCTCTCTCTTTTTCTGATTTTTAGAATGTGGATATTGAAAATGATGTCTCAACCCCTCTTCGAGATGACGATATAAATTTTTCCTTCGACTGTTTCCATGCTCCTCTTTTTGTTCTCCAAATTCCCCCTGAATTAGTTTCTCCCCCATTCAAACTCTTTTTTGAAGGATGATTGATGACTCGCCCCTCTTTTCAGCCCCCTTTTGCTCTCTCTCTTTAGGCTCTAATTTGGATTAGTCAACCCCAGAAAAAGAAGAAAAAGGAAAGCAAGAAGAAGAAGAGGAAACAGGAGCCAATATCATTTTTCAAACCGAAAACGAAACTGATTGGAAATGCATTGGAGCCCCCCGGAGCTTGAAAAAATTTGGAAAAAGGAGAATTTTTCAATTTTCCTTTTTTCAAGAAATTTCTGACGCTGGATGTACTTCAAGATGAATAATTCAGAACATTCTGGAGATATCATCTCTCTCTCTTCCCGATGACGATTACTTTTTTGGGCTCTTCTTTGGAAGTCCAATGGACCAAAACCGTCCTTTTTCAAAAAAGGCCCTTTGAAACAATTTTTTGATGGATTACCCTTCAGAAGACGTGGGACGAGGGCTACGGTACTTCTAGTTGTCATTGACAACTGTTCTTTTTTTTTCTTTGAAATTTTTTTTTCCTTTTTTTCGTTTTATTCGAATTTCCAAGAATGACGGGGGGACACTTGAGACGACGTCGACTTCAAGGAAGAAAAATGACAAATGAGAGTCTGGAGGTGGAAATTCTAGAGGAATTTTAAGCCAAAAATGAAGGACATCCGGATTCACAGCTACACAGACAGATTTGTGTGGAAAAAATCTGAAAATGTGGAGATTTTTGGCTGAAAATGAGCAATTTTACACTAATCTGAAAAATTGCTCATTTTCAGCCGAAAAAAAATTTTTTCGCGTTGTTTTTTCAAATAAAAAAATCCTTTTCAAATTGAAATTAGCTAGGGAACTACAGTAATCCCAGCTACGCTTCTAATGGATTCCTCTAGTTCCTCCCAAATTTTTGGAATCTTTTTAGGCCCAGATGACGTTATCTTTTTTTGTCTTCTTCCAAAAACGACGACGTCTTCTGAAGGAAATTCGGAAAAAGAATGTCGTGTGTGCTGCTAATGAATACCCTTGGGGTCCCATGAAAACATGAAAAATTTCTTGTTTTCTTTTTTTTTGGGACACCCGAAAAATGGGACATATAATTATTTTTCTTCATGGGACACATGGAAAACAAGGATTTCCGGTGCTCGCTAGGATTGCTCATATCTCAAACGCTACTGTAGATAGAGGGAAACTGTCGACTGGAATATTGCTCAGCATAAAAATTTACACATTTTTGTAGTTGACAACTTTTTGATGGGTACTGTAGTTTTGGAGTTTTGGAGAGTTTTGGATATGCGCCTTTAAACTTTGGCGCGCTCCGGTAGGCGCCCGGGCGCATATCTCAAAAACTACAGTACCCATCAAAAAGTTGTCCACTACAAAAATGTGTAATTTTTTATACTGAGCAATTTTGTAGTTTGTAGTTTTAAGCTGGCTACTGTAGTTTTTGAGATACGCACCTTTAAAAAATGTTGACCCTGAAAAAAATTTTTTTTGAAAAATTGTTTTTTTTTCATTTTTTTTTGGGTTTTTTTTTGAAAAACAAGGATGAGCAATTAGCTTCTTTCAGACACTTCTGGAAATTTCAGAAAATTTTCTTTTCTAGAATTTTCCAAAAGTTCAACATTTCAAAAAAAAAAATTTTTTCTCGAAATTTTAGGATTTTGGTATCCATGTACCTGTCAATCAGTGGACCTAACTGCCTGTTTTAGTGGTTTTTCTATACTTTTTTTTGACTTTCTTGACTTTCGCCGACACAAAGGGATGGTCCCAAAGTTTTTTGAAAAAAAAAAAGATTTTTGTATTTTGAACAAAAAAGTTCAAAAATCAAAAAAATTTTATTTTAAAATGACTAAATTAAACTGAATATAGGGTTTGAAATAGCTGAAAATGACAAAATTACCACTTTAAACATCTGAAAATCGATTTTTCTATGCATTTTGAGCGATTTTCTGAAAATTGCACTTTTGGCTCAGTGGGATTTTTCCCGACTACCAATCTGACGACCCGGGTTCGATTCCACCTGGCTCCAAACTTTTTTGATTTTTGTGTAGATTACTGTAGGCTACTTTAGAGGGCCTGGGAAGGTCTAAAAGAGGCTTAGACGAGCCTAAAATTTGTCAGGGATGAGCAATGAAATGAAAATGACCCGAAATTCAGCAAAATGCAGCTAGAATGCCTGAAAAAATATTCTAGATTGGAAAAACTCATAAAACTAGATCAAGAATCGAAATGTCGAGCTCTAAAGTTGTTTTTGAGCGATTTTCAAAAAAATTGCTAAATTGGCTCAGTGGGATTTTCGATAGCAATCTCACAACCCGGGTTCAATTCCTCTCGGTGGCAATCTTTTTTGATTTGTGTGTAGACCATTTTTAGACTATTTTAGACTTGTCTCGAGCTGAAATTGCGAAATTTCAGAAAAATCTGGAATTTTTGAAAATTTTTTAAAAATAAAATTTCATAAATTTTACTGAATCTAGGTTTGAAAATGTTCAAAAAACACGAAAAACCATTTTTAAACACATAAATATCGATTTTTCGATTGTTTTTGAGCGATTTTTCAAAAATTGCAAAAGTGGCTCAGTGGGATTTCCGACCCGAAACTTTGGAAAACCACCACCCGAGTTCGATTCCACTCGGTGGCAAACCTTTTTGATTTTTGTGTAAAGTACTGTAGACTAGTTCAGAGGAGCCTAATAGGCCTAGAAAAGCCCGAACGGGCCTTTGTGGTCTAATCAGGGCCTATTTTCCAAAATTGCTAATGTAGTTTGACCTATTTTTTCCAAATTTTTTTTTGGGATTTTTTTTTCTCCCACGAGACTCATTTGAAACTACTGGTTTCCCCCCCCCCCCCCCCTTATTTTTGTTTTGTTCCTCCATTTTTTCCATTTTCCAGGAATTTTCCAAAAATCCAAAAACCCCACAAATCCTCGGATCTCCTAATTAGCGGCTTTGTTTGTTTTTTCCGTGTTTTCTGAAAACTACAGTAACCCTTTTAAAAAATTTGGTCATTCTTTTTTTCTCTTTTTTTTCTAACCCTCTTCTTCATCATCTGACGTGGCCCTCTCTAGCCCAGACCACTTTTAAGCTCCGCCCACTTTTCCCCTTCTCCAGGCTCCGCCCACTTTTGGCTCCCAAAGCCTTGGGAGCTCACTTCTTGCTCATTCATATGATGATTCGCCTCACCGCCACCGCACTTCTAGTGCTCATCGTGGCCGCTTACGGTCAGGATGCTGCTCCAGGAGCCGGAGCTGGAGCTGTTCAGGCTGCTCACAACCCAAAGGATTGCCAATCAGTGAGTCGGGGAGATTTTAAGCTGAGCAATAGGGGAAAACGTTTTTAGGAAAAAAATCATTGAAATCCGTTCATTTTGACCGGTTTAAGGTCTGAGATAGGTTGGGGTGTTTATGCTGAGCAATCTTGTTGAACCCAGAGGAAAACCGCTGGAAATAGCTGTAAATAAGCTTAAAATAGCTTAGAAACCCTAAAAACCACCTAAGAACATTTTTCTGCTGTCTCTGATCGATTTCCTGATAATCGCACTTTTGGCTCAGTGGGATTATCCCCGACTATCAATCTCACGGCCCCGGTTCGATTCCACCTTATACCAAACCTTTTTTATTTTTGTGTAGAGTACTGTAGACTTGTTTAGAGGGCCTGGAAAGGTCTAGAAAGGCGAAAATTGGCCTAAATTTGTTAAGAATGAGCAACGCTTCAAAAGTGAGCTAGATTGACTGGAAAGGGGTGCGAAAAAAGTGTTCCAGATTTAAAATTGCTTAAAAATCACGAAAAACTAATTTAGAACCCCTAAAAATTACCCTAAACGCTTTGAAAAGGCGATTTTCTGAAAATTGCACTTTTGGCTCAGTGGGATTTTTCCCGACTACCAATCTCACGACCCCGGTTCGATCCCACTTAGTACCAAACTTTTTTTGTTTTTGTGTAGAGTACAGTAGGCTAGTGTAGAGGGCCTGAAAGGGCCTAAAACTACCTAAACGAGCCTAGAATTTGTTAAGAATGAGCAATGACCCAGAATTCAGCTAAATTGGTTGGAAAACGGCTGGACAAAAGGCGTCTAAAGTCAAAATTGATTGAAAAGCTCAAAAAACTAGTTTAAAAATCGAAATTTCGAGGTTTAAAGCTGTTTTTGACCGATTTTCTGAAAATTGCACTTTTGGCTCAGTGGGATTTTTCCCGACTACCAATCTCACGACCCGGGTTCGATTCCACCTGGCTCCAAACTTTTTTTATTTTTGTGAGGAGTACAGTAGGCTAGTTTAGATGGTCCGGAAAGGGTCCAAAATCTTCCAAACCGGAAATTTTAAAGCTGAGCAATCCAAAAGTTGCCCTTCTGAATCTTTCATTTGATTCAGTCTCCTGCGTGTCGTTTTAGGAATGTTTGACCTGACCTAAAAGTGTATTTTTTGATCAAAAAATTGAGATTTAAAAAAAAAATTTTGATCTCTTTGAATAGCATCATGATGATGACTTTTATTGAGCACAAATCACCTTATCCCACCCGAGATTAGATATTTTTTGAAGTGGGAGTAATTGAAGATTAGTGTGTAGTACTCAAAATAAGAAACATCATAATCTGGGGAAATTTTCTAGAAAATTCTAGAAAAAATCTACCGTAGTCCTTTTACAACCCCTCATTAGGACCCTTAGAGGCTCCTGGACCCTATAATTTTCGTTTTTTTTCCACAGAAACATGACAGCTATGCAATTTCGCCCCACTGGACATGAAAATTGTAGCTTTTAGTAGCTTTCTAGGGATTACGGTAGCTCGCTAACAATGAGCAATGACCGGAAAAGGCCTTTTCAGGCATTTTAGGCCATCTAAACTAGTCTACAGTACTCAACATAAAAATAAAAAAAATTAGCCACCGTGTGGAATCGAACCTGAGTGGTCAGATTGGTAATCTGACAACCAAAAAACCCACTGATCCAAAAGTGCAATTTTTAGGAAATCGCTCAAAAACAGCTTACAACATGAGTTTTTCGATTTTTAAACTAGTTTTTTGAGTTTTTCAAGCAATTTTAGGTTTGGAAAGTGGTTTTCTAAAACTTCCATCTGGATTTTGGCTCATTGCTCATTCTTATGGAAAATAGGCTCATATAGGTCCTTTCAGGCCTTTTTAGGCCTTTCCAGGCCCTCTAAACTATCCTACAGTACTCTACAAAAAATAAAAAATATTGGCCACCGGGTTGAATTGAACCTGGCTCGTGAGATTGGTAGTCCCGGCAACCAGAAAACCCACTGAGCCAAAAGTGCAATTTTCCGAAAATCGCTCTAAAACTCGTTTTTCATCGATTTTTTGGAATTCTAGGCTAGTTTTCTGTGATTTTTAAGAATTTCAAACTCATTTCTAACCATTTTAAGTACCAAACTTGCAGATCCTTGCCAACAACGGCGACCAACAAGAGGCACTGTTGTGCCAGCTGAGCGAGAGCAGCATGCTGCTCGCTCAACTTGGAGCTCTGGTCTCGGAAGGTGTCGAGCGTTTGGTGCAAACCCATGGTAGGTGATTTTCAGCTTTTTCTGGAAATTAAAAAAAAAATTAAAATTTTTTTTCTTTTTTTCAAAATCTTTCCTATCCCTTTCCTATCTTTCAAGGTCTCATACCACTTTCCTCTGAGCCCCAAGACGAGCCCATGATTCCAGGATTGGCTCTTGAAGAGGAGACAAACGAGAGTGATGGGGATATGGAGAAGCGCAAGCACGAGTACCTTCGTTTCGGCAAAAGAAAGCACGAGTACTTGCGATTCGGAAAGAGGAAGCACGAGTACCTCAGGTGAGTTGGGACTCAGATTTTTGGATTTGTGAGAAGAAGAGCTTCAAAATGAGTATGATCATGACTACGTTCGAATTAAAATGAGCAATGGGTAGGGGGGCTTAGCCCCTCTGCCCCCGAAACACTTTATGAAGTTTCTGCTCTGAAAACCGCTGGTTTCGACTTTATTTGACACAAAAGTTGTTGAAAATCACAAAAAACAACCCTAAAAACCTTTAAAAATCGATGTTTAGCGATTTTAGGGTCATTTTCCAAAAACCGCACTTTTGCCTCAGTGGGGTTTTTCCACAACAGCCAATTTCACGACCCGAGTTCAATTCCACTTGGCGCCAAACCTTTTTTATTTTTGTGTGGAGTACAGTAGACTAGTTTAGACGGCTTAAAAACGTCTGAAACGACCCAAACTGGTCTACACTAGCTTAGAATGAGCAATCACCCCAAAATCCCTAAAATCCAGCTAAATTGGTTGGGTAAAAAGCTTTCTAGACTCAAGATTTCTTGGGAATCCCAAAAAACTAGTTTAAAAATCAAAACAATAATGTTTAAAGCTGTTTTTGAGCAATTTTCCAAAAACCGCATTTTTGGCTCAGTGGGATTTCCGACCCGAAACTTTGGAAAACCACCACCCGAGTTCGATTCCACTCGGTGGCAAACCTTTTTGATTTTTGTGTAAAGTACTGTAGACTAGTTCAGAGGAGCCTAATAGGCCTAGAAAAGCCTGAACGGGCCTTTGTGGTCTAATCAGGGCCTATTTTCCAAAATTGCTAATGTAGTTTGACCTATTTTTTCCAAATTTTTTTTGGGATTTTTTTTCTCTCACGAGACTCATTTGAAACTTCTGGTTTCCCCCCCCCCCCTTATTTTTGTTTTGTTCCTCTATTTTTTCCATTTTCCAGGAATTTTCCAAAAATCCAGTTTAGAGGGCCTGGCAGGCCCTGGAAAAGCCTGATTTGGCCAATTTGACCCCGAAAAAAAAAGCATTGCTCATTTTTTGGTGGTGGGGGGTGGGGACCTTTGTTCTTCACCAAAAATAAGTTTCTACATTTTTGGTTGTCTTTGTTTTAATTGAATTTCTCATTCAAAAACAAAAAGAAGAAAATTTTCGAAAAGAAGACAAAATTCAATTTCCCACCGAGCCAAAAAAAAAAGAGCCCAAAAAATTTTTTTTCAGATTCGGAAAGAGAAAGCACGAGTACTTGCGTTTCGGACGCAAGTAAAACCACAAGGGACCACCATCTGAATAAACCATCATCAACCTACCATCACTATCATCAAAAAGAAGAAAAAGACAGAACATTATAATAATTTATTTTTTTATCCTAAATACAGTACACCACGATCTCTCTATCTCTCCTACAAACACACATACTCTCTCTCTCTCTCTTTCTCACCACCTACAAAAATCCCCAAGAGCGCATTTTCTCTCTCTCTCTCTCTCCCTCACCATCACTCTCTCTCTCTCTCTCTCTTTGTCGAAAGAAGAACACACACTCATTTGTTAACAAAAAAATGAATAAATCTTGTCGTTGGTCAAACTTTTTTTTATTGATACCTCGATATTCAGATTAAGCATGAAAAGAGCTTCAAAATGAGTTTAATCATGCCTAGGTTTGGAGGTTTCTAAGCTGAGATAAGCCGAAAGAAGCCAAGAACGTTTAAAGGCGCATAAGGTGAAAAAAGTCAAAAATCGAAAATATCCAAACATAGTCATGATTATACTTATTTTGAAGCTTGAACTTAGAGAAACTCAAATCTGTTTAGCAAATCAACATTGAATGAAAACTGAACGAGTTATGCCAGTATAACTCCTGGAGCTGAAATTTGACGCTTTGCTTTGAACAACCATAATTTTGTCAGTTTTTGTTCAGTTTCTACAAATTCAATTGTTGTGGATTAACCTTGTTCAGAGCGTTAAAATAAGTATAATCTCGACTGGGTTTAGTGGAATTTCATTTTTCACGATTTTCGTGGTGGGACCCAATTTTGGACAAATTTCACAAATTTTCAAATATGGTCATGATTATACTCATTTTAAAGCTAAAAATGTGAAAAATTCAAAACTGTAAAAAAAACTTGATTTGGAGCAAAATTGACAGAGTTAGAGCACTTTCAAGATTTTGAAAAATTTTACTGTCAAAAATGAAACTGTCATATTTCGTCCAGTTTTCATCGAATTTTGGGAGTTTTTGTAGTTTTGAGATTTTCACATTATGAGCTTTGAAATTACAGTTTTGGAAAAAATCCAAAATTCCCTTTTTGAATTCGAAAATTCTTCTAATTCTTAGAGTTTCAGAATGTGTTCTACCAGAAAAAGCATGTTGGAAAACCCTAAAACTGTTTTTTTAATCTGAAATTTATCCATTTGGCTGTATAACTACGGTTTCGAAATTACGCGGAGCTTTTTTTACATTTTTTTAAAGTATGATAACTATTCGAGGGGGAAAAAGCATTTTCAGATCTCGCAGCAAAAAAATTTCAAATATAAAATTTCTGGATAGTTTGTCACATATAGTTTTGTCCCTCAACAGCAAAATGAATCTATTTTTAAAATATATGTCGATCCGTCGAAATATAGAGAATATTATGTTTTTCGTTGAAGAGCGGAGAAAAAGGACGCGCGAGATTAAAGGCGCACACACTTTCCAGGCGCCGCGGGTCTCGAAGCGATCATGCCCGAACAGGCATGAAACTCGAATTTCGAAATCATTCTACGTGTTTTAACGAGTCTTTAAACGAAAAGAGATTAACTATAATTTTCAGAAAAAGCCAAAAGACAGTTCGTCGAAGAACTCGAGCAGAAGGCAGGTGAAGAGTTCGGACACCACATCGAGAGACTCAAGATGATCCCCTTTGAAGCCAAAGCTACGTCCACGGCTGCCGCTTACAAGGCAGAGAACGACAAGAGAAATTCGTGGATTTCTCAGAAGAAGCTTCCAATGGATGAGTCGTCATTTCTGTTATACTTGTTGGACAGAGCTAAGCAAATCGGGAGCAGTGCTTTGGCGAAGATCTCGGCTGCCTATCAAACAGCAAACGAATTAATTTCAAACATCGGAGCGTCTTTTGTGTCAGACATCATCAAGTCAAAGAGAAGAGAGGAAAGCCTGCTAAAGAAAGAAGTAGTGAAGGTGACTATGGAGGATGTGCAGAAGATCACAATGTTGGCAATGAAAGAAGACAGTCCGGAGAGGGATCGAGACGCGTTGCTGGCAATTCTATCGTTCAATGTCATGCTAAGAGAATCGGAAGCAGCTAAGATCAAGTGGGCAGGAGTAACACAAAAAGGCGGGATGATTGAGGTGCATGTAGAGAAGGCAAAGAATGATTAGTTGAGACTCGGAAGATCGTCGTTCTTCAACACGAGCCAGGCAGTGATGCGGACACCTGATGTGCCGATGGAGACTCCGGACCAAAGGAAAGTGCCCATACGTTTTTTCGCATCTGGACGGCTCGAAGAAGCTCTCGAAACAAGCTATTTCGACGCTCTCGACGAAGATGCTGGCTGCGATCGGGAAGCCGGGAGCGACTCATCACTGCTTCAGAAGAGGAGGAGCCAACCACATGAGGAGAATCGGGCATTCAATGGAGGAAATTCAATGCAGAATAAGATGGAGATCGGCGGCAGGACTTCAGCGGTATCTCACTGATGTTCCAACAGCTCAAGGATGTCTACAGTCTCAGGCAGAATCAGATTTATTCATCAAAAAACGCACTTTCAAAAAATGCAACAAAAAAAACACAGACACAATAAATTTCAATTGGGATAAGTAGTAGATCATGGGGGAGTGGTAGAAATTTACAAAAAAAAATCAATTTTTGAGCAAAATTATTTTTTGGCCCCAAACGTTATTATTGCATGTAAACTCCACGATCGTACTTGTTGAATCGGCTCTGACGTTGGAGGATCTTCTCGCTGACAACGTTGGCTGCGAAGATGGCCGCGATGATGAGGAAGCAGCCGACGTTTAGTCCGGCCATGGCCTGAAAATTTTGAGATTTTCGAAAAAAAAAATAATTTTTACGACGAGTATAGTCATGTTTTTATACTCATTTGCAAGCACTAATCGCTACAAATCTAAACCAGTTTGAATTTCTGAGATTGGACTAAAACTGAGCGAGTTATGCGCTTTTCTAACTTTTTGGGTCCCACCACGAAAATGGGAAAAATCAAAAATTTTGAAACCTAGGCTTGTTTATACTTATTTGGAAGCTCTAAACGCGATAAAATCAGATTAGTCAAAATTTTTGAAATCGGACTAAAACTAAGCGAGTTATGAGCTTTTCTAACTTTTTGGGTCCCACCACGAAAATGGGAAAAATCAAAAATTTTGAAACCTAGGCTTGTTTATACTCATTTTGAAGCTCTAATTATGAGAAACTCAAATCAGTTAAAATTCCTAAAATCCGACTAACACTAAGCGAGTTATGTGCATTTCTAATTTTTTAGGTCCCACCACGAAAATAGGAAAATTCGACAAAGTTCAAACCTAGGCTTGATTATACTCATTTTGAAGCTTTTAACTAGCTAATTCTCAAATTTCAAAATATTTTCAATTTGAAGCGAATTTGACTGAGTTACAGAAATTTCAAATTTCAGCCTTTTTTTCAAAACTTTAAATTCATGTAACTTGGCTCATTTTGCTCCAAATTTGATAAATTTTAAATTTTTTGAATCAGCTAATTTTGCTCTTTTAAATAGATATAATCAAGCCAGACTTTAAATCCAGAAAATCTTTGCCTCTTTCCCTATGCGCCTTTAAACCAGCTTACAGTAATCAAATCACTGACCCCAATCCATCCGAATCGCTCTCCAGTCTCAATAATGGTACGTTGAGAGATGGTACCGCCGATGCCAATGATGATGAGCCATCCCATAATTCCAGCGGTCGCGAAAATGATTTCCTGGAATTTTTAATTTTTGGAATTTTCAGAATTTTCAGAAAGCTGTAATTAAATTATATGCTGACCTAGTTATACAACAAGAATAATGCAATTACACCCCCAAAAACTTCCAAAGTTTCAAAAAAAAAAAAATTTTTTTAACTTAATTACCGAGAAGGCGCAATTAGTGAGTGGTGTATCCTCGCCACGTTTTGCCAACAAGAATGACATCAAAACGGAGACAATACAGTAGAGAAGGGTGAGGGCAGAAACCAAATAGATGATGACAATTTCATAGTTGATTGAGATGTAGGCGGTGACATAGGCCGGGTCGAGAAGGATCAGTGTCACGATTGTAAGGATCTGGAATTGGGAGACTTTTATTCGAAAATAATTTATTTGAATTCAGCATAAAAAGAGCTTCAAAATGAGTATAATCATGACTGGGGCTGTAGCCTATTACGGTAGTAATTGTCCCATTACGGCGGCCAACTGCAAGTTTAAAGGCGCATAGGGACTCAAGATTTTGAAAATCGAGGAAAGTGGGTCATGATTATACTCATTTTGAAGCTGAAACCATGAGAAATCTAAAACTGTTTAGAATGTTAACTTTCGACAAAAACTAAGCGAGTTATGGCAGTTTAACAGCTTGAGCCAAAACGGGCTGTGAAGTTTAAACAGTCATAACTTTGTCAATTTTAGTCACATCTGAAATTTAAAGCTGGTTCTGAAACAAACACATTTTGAGCTTTAAAATGAGTATAATAATGACTAGTTTTGGTGAAATTTGATTTTTCAAGATTTTCGTGCTGGGACCCATTTTTGATCAAATTTCAAAATGCACCAAATGTAGTCATGATTATTTTCATTTTTAAGCTAAACTCATGAAAAATTCACAGCTGTTTAGAAAATTCGATTCGGACAAATATTGATCAAGTTACAGTACTTTCAAGATTTTGGATTTTTTTCGGTTAAAATTGAAAACTTCATAACTTGGTCTGTTTTTGACCAATCCCGGAAATCATTGTAGTTCTGACTTTTACTTGTTCTGCGCTTCAAAATGAGTATAATCATGACTAGGTTTGGCAAAATTTGATTTGTCAAGATTTTCGTGGTGGTACCCAACTTTTGGTTAAACGTCCCATTTTTTCAAATATAGTCATGATTATGCTTATTTCAACGCTGGAAATGTAAGAAATTCAAATTTGTTGAAAAATTCAACTTTGAACCAAAATTGGCCGAGTTAGAGCACTTTCAAGATTTTATTAATTTTTGATTCCATATTTCAAGCTAGCCTAACTCAGTCAAATTTGCTCTAATTTTGAAAATATTTGTAGTTCTGAATTCACCGTGTTCAGAGCTTCAAAATAAGTATAATCATGACCTACTTTACTCGAATTTCATTTTTTGGACCCCCTATGCGCCTTGAAACCCTAAATTTCAAACTGAAAGGAACATAGTCATGATTATACTCATTTTGAAGCTCTTAACATGCCGAATCTAAATTTTTGAACCAATTTTGTGCAAACTCATTTTTCAAAAAGTTATTGAGCTTTTCAAATTTCAAAAATTTCATGTTCCGGCCCCCAGGTAACCTAAAACCAAGGAATATTTTGCATATTGTGTTCCCTTTTGAAATGACTAATACTTATTCTTCTTCAACCTTGGCCTCTTCTTCTTTTCGCCCGCAATATGCAAATATTTGTTTGTCGAATGATGAAAATGCTCTTCTTTTACGATTTGTGAGGAGGAAGGCGGAAAAAGAAGAAGAAGAAGACGACGACGACGGTCTTGTACTGATAACAACAATATACAATTGTTAACAAGACCAGTGAGAGAGTATGGGAAGCGGGGAGACGCAGAGAAAAAGACAATAATGCTAAATAAAGAATTATTGTTGTTGGAGCATGGCGAATTGTTTCGAAAATAAAGTTGGAAACTTGGAAAAATCAGTTTTTCATAAATTTTCATTCAGATTTGAAGTTAAAAACGTCCGAATTCCAGAACAGTTTAAAAATTCAAAATTGAACCAAAACTAGGCGAGTTATGAGAGTTTTTTACTTTTTGGCTGCTCTAACTCAGCCAATTCAAGTCCAAAGTCGCATTTTCAAGCAGATTTGAATTTTTCATGATTTTAGCTTTAAAATGAGTATAATCATGATTATATTTGAAAAATGTTGAAATTTGATCAAAATTGGGTCCCGGCACGAATATCATGGAAAATGAAATTTTACGAAACCTAGTCGTGATTATACTTTTATAAAAGCTCGGAACATCAAAAATTCAAAACAATTCAAAAAATTGCAATCGGTCGAAAACTGAGCGAGTTAGGCTGGCTTGAAGGGTTAACTAAAAAATTGGTAAAATCTTGAAAGTAATCTAACTCAGTCAGTTTTAGCTCAACTTGGATTTTCTAGACAGATTTGAATTTCTGACGCTTTCAGATTCAAAATGAGTATAATCATGACCATATTTGAAAAATGTTGAAATTTGATCAAAATTGGGTCCCGGCACGAATATCATGGAAAATGAAATTTTACGAAACCTAGTCATGATTATACTCATTTTGAGCGCTGAACAAGGAAATTTCAAAACTATCTCAGTTTCTCGAATTAGACCGAAATAGGCCGAGCTAGGAAGATTTCAAGTTTTGACTGTAAAAATTCCAAAATATTGAAAATAATGTAACTCGGTCAATTATGACCCAACTTCAATTTTCTAAAAAGTGTCAAATTTTTCAAAATTCGAGCTTTAAGATGAGTATAATCATGACCATATTTGAAAATCTTTGAAAATTGACATTTTCCACCCATGCGCCTTTAAAAGAAGGGGGGTGGGGGTACTGTAGTTTCCGCCTATCTATGCATATAACGATGACTAATACCTTTTAATCACTATTTCTAGACTTTGATAGGGAATATTTTCTATAGAAAAACAACCATTACCATGAGTCATAATTTGAAAATTTTCAAAAATTGAAAATTTTGAATTTTTCAAAAAAAATGCAAAAACTCACCACAATCGCCACTTTGACGCCCATACTGATGAGCAGTTGGCTTGGAAAAGCCATCTCTTTCTCTGCAAAACTATATTATCAATAGAGCGAATTTGTCGAAAAAGTTGAAAAAAACGAAAAAAGCTGAAATGATTTTTCTGAAAATCTCAATTTTTGACATCTAGAATGTTTTAGAATAGCCTAAAAATGGTCTACACAAAAATCAAAAAAGTTTGCCATCGAGGGGAATCGAACCCGGGTGTTGAGACTACTAGATGTTTCATCGAAAATCCCATTGCGCCATTTTCTCATTTTTCGGGAAAATGCTCAAAAATACTGGAAAATTGAATTTTAGGGAATTCTAGGGTCATATTTAGTGTTTTGAATAAATTCTTAGCAATTTTCAAGAAAAAACTGGAATTTTCGAAAAAAAAATTTTTTTTCAAAATTTCAGATTTTTCTGAAAATCCCAAAATTTCAGCTCGACAGAAGTCGAGAATAGTATACAATGCTATAAAAAAGCAGCAAAAAAAGTTTGCCACCGAGTGGAATCGAACCCGGGTGTTGAGATTGGCAGTGAAAATCCCACTGAGCCACTTGGTCATTTTTCGGGAAAACACTGGAAAAGTCGATTTTTCTGGAAATTTTCAGTTGATTTTAGTATTTGTAACAAAATTCCAGGAAATTTCAACAAAAATTTTTAAAATTTTGGATTTTTTAGAAATTTCCGAAAATTTCAAAATTTCAGCTCTAGTGAAGTCTAGAATAGTCAAAAATGCTGTAAAAAATAAGCAAAAAAGGTTTGCCATCGAGTGGAATCAAACCCGGATGTTGAGATTGGTAGGCGAAAATCCCACTGAGCCATTTTTGCACTTTTTGGGAAATCGCTCAAAAATGCCCAAAAATGGTCCCAAAAAGTGGTTTTATAGGTTTCCAAGTCTGTTTTACTCGTTTTCAAAGCTTGAAATCTAGTAATTTCAACTGTAAAACAGTGAAAATTGGATTTTTAGGTGGTATTTCAGCTCATTTCGGGCCTTTTCTCAATGGAGCGCGGTTTTGCTGTATAGGGAAATTGAAAAGCTACAAAATTTTGCATTGTCCATATTTTCCGTATAGCGGGAGAAAGAGGAAAAAGCCGAAAAGTGAAGAACCAGGTGAGTGGAGGGAAGGGGGGTGGTCTCTGAATCATGAAAGAGCAAATAGAGAGAGAGAGAGAGACACTCTCTCTCTAACCACTCTCTCCATTTCCCATACTCTCTCGCTTACTGTTTGTATTGCATAACATACACATACACAACAAGTGAAGCGGAGCGATCGATATAGAAATTAGGCTCCGCCCACTTTTTGTTTCGGGAGGCTTGTTTGTTGACAGGGTTACGGGATGAGGCTTCTGGAGGGAAAGTTTCTCAGGGAACAATAAAATGGGTTACTGTAGAAAATTTGGAAGCAGTCGAATTTTGAAAAATCGATTTTTAGAAAAATTTAAATTTTTTTGAAATTTTCAAATTTTTGGATTTCTCGAAAATATCGATTTTGCCATCGGATTTTTTCAAAAATCCCAAAATTTCAGCACTAGAGCATTCTAGAATAGTCTAAAAATGATCTACACAAAAATCAAAAGAGTTTGTCACCGAGTGGAATCGAACCCAGGTGTTGAGATTAGTTCGAAAATCCAACTGAGCCATATGTGCAATTTTTTGAAAATATGCATAAAATGAGCTTAAAACGTTGAGAAAGTTGATTTTTAACACATATTCTGCTCAAAATAACGTTTTTAAAGCTTTATTTCGAAAAAATCTTTCAAAAAAAATTTTTGCGAAAAAATTTTTTTGTCTGAAATTTTCAGATTTTTCTGAAAATCCCAAAATTTCAGCTCTAGAGAAGTCTAAAATAGTGTAAAAATGGTCTACACAAAAATCAAAAGAGTTTGCCACCGAGTGGAATCGAACCCGGGTGTTGAGATTACTATTTACTTCATCGAAAATCCCACTGAGCCATTTTTGCAATTTTCCGGAAATTATGCCTCAAATGCCCCAAAAATGTGGTTTTCTAGGTTTTTGAGTCTGTTTTACTCATTTTCAAGCTTAAAAACTAGCATTTTCGACCGTAAAACTTCAAAATTTGCGAAAATTGAAGAAATAAATCTAAAATTTGCAAAAAATAAAAAATCACAAAATTATATTTTTATGGATGAAGAGAACAAAAAAAAAAGAATAAATAGGGATAATATTCAAATAAAGATAATTATAGAGGGGAAAATCTAACTGATTTTATGGCTTGAAAATTCTGATCTTCAAGCCAAGAATTCAAATTTTAGCGCATTTTTTTGGCTGAAAATTAAGCTTAATCTTGATGTTTTGAGCCAAAAAAAAAAATTTTTCTTGGATCAAAATCCTGGAAAATTTGAGCTCTAATTTCAGATTTTCAAGATAGCAATTCAATTTTTCGTCAATTTTAGGCTCTTTTTTTGCCGAAAAATCAAAAATTCATATTTTAAAGCCGTTTTTTGACTTGAAAATCACATTTTTAAGCCCAAAAATGACCATTTTTTTCGGATGAAATTTTCTGACAAAATTTTGCTTAAAATCCTGATTTTTTTACAACAAAAAAACATTCGAATTTTCAGCCCATTTTAAGCCAAAAATTCGAATTTTTCAGCCCATAAATTTTTTGGCTGAAAATTAGGCAAATTCGTCTGGAAATAATAAAAAATAAATATGCAAAGTCTGGAGAAAAAAGGGGGCGGAGTCACAATCAAAAATGGAGGGAGAAAGATCTGAAAAAGAGGGAAAAAAGAAGGAAAAAAGAGGGAAATTTTGAAGAAAAAATTGGAAAAAATCGGAAAAAATAGACTGGAAAAATTCCAATTTTTGGCTTAGAAATTTGAATTTCAGAGCCGAAATTGTGGCTAAAAACGAGACAAAAAAAAATTGAAATATTAAGTAAAAATTCGTAAAAATCGGGGTAAAAAAAAGCGATTTTCAGAGTCATTTTTAGCCATTTTCAGCACTTTTTCTAAGAGAACACATTACTACAAAAATCGGATTTTTAGGCGAAAAATTCGGCTGTAAATGTCCCAAAATCAGTCATTTAGGGGAGATTTTAGCTCGAAAATTGGAGAGATTTCTCAGCTTTTTCAGCAGAGAAAAAACGATTTTTTGGGGCATTTTCAAGTCATTTTCAGCTCTTTTTTTCAGAGAAAATGGCTTTAAAATGGGATTTCTGATAAAAAATCAGCTGAAAATGTCGAAAAATAGCTTCAAAATTGGTCATTTTCAGTCATTTTTGGCATCAAAATCACTTTTTTAGATCGATTTTTCTCATTTTTCCAGTTTTAAACATCTCAAAATCACTATTTCCAATACTAAAATCACATAACAGGAGGGGCTCTGGCCGAGATAAAGTCAATAGCTCGATAGATAAAAGCACTGATAACACCGGGACAGCTCGGCGAGCCGGCGACATTCTGAAGGGATCCTCTCATCTGGGAAAACGCTTGACGGGTCGATGGATTGCGTCTAGAGGCATATCTGAGTGATAAGAAACGATAATAGGCGAATGGGAGAAACAGAGAGCCCTGGCCGGAGAAGATCAATGAGACGAGGAGGGGAATCAGGAAGATCTCCGAGCACGCGATGATTCCCAGGGCGTTTTGCGTCTGGTGGGCGGTGAATTGCTCCAATTTGGGGACCAGAGACAGGTTGTGACCAGTTTCACGCAGGATTTTTGTCTGGAAAAGTGGAATTTCTAGAGAGAATTAGGGCTGGAAATTGATTTTGGTTCTGAAAATCGGATTTTCAGCTTACTTTCTCGAATTTTGACTTTTAAAAAAGGATTTTCAGCCATTTTTAGTGTCCGAAAATCGGATTTTTAGACATTTTCGGTGCTGAAAATCGGATTTTCAGCCTATTTTCTCCAATTTTGGTTCTCGAAATCGGTAAAAATTTTGGTTCCGAAAAAAAAATTTTGTTCTGAAAATCGGATTTTCAGCCTATTTTCTAGATTTTTGTCTCGAAAAATCGGACTTTTAGACATTTTTTGCCTATTTGGAGTCACTTTTGCGGTAATTTTCAGTCATTTAGAGCCAATTTTCTCAAATTTTTGTCTTGAAAATCGGTGCAAATTTTGGTTACGAATGTTTGGTTCTGAAAATTGGATTTTCAGCCCTTTTTTTAGATTTTGTCTCGAAAAATCATATTTCGAGCCATTTTCGGGACAAAAATCGTCAGCTTGAAAGCATTTTAACGACTTTTGAGCTCATTTTTCACTATTTTTCGCGATTTTTGGCTCTGAAAAATGCCATTTCTAACCGATTTTAACGATTTTTTGCTCAAAACTGACCACAAAAGTGCAGGCATGAAGTGCGGCGTAGATAGTGACTGGAAGAGCGGCCATACTAATCGGTGCAGACATTAGGAACACGACAGAGTACACCAGATAGTGAAAAGCGTCCTCGATGACCAATCTTTGGACGAATTGAGCATTCATCGCGAATTGTCCCTGGATTCTCGTGTGGAGGCGGAGAGCAAAGGTTGCGGCGGCTGAAATAGGGATTTTAGAGCTGAAAATGGCTGAAAATGACCCAGAAATGATGATTTTGGGGTTTAAGGAAGGAAATTTGGGGGGTTTTTGGCGAAAAATCGGTCAAAAATAACCCAAAAATCGTGAAAAATGACTCAAGAATCATGAAAAATGACTCAAAAATCATGAAAATTGACTCAAAAATCATGAAAAATGACTCGAAATTCATGAAAAATGACTCAAGAATCATGAAAAATGACTCAAAAATCATGAAAAATGACTCAAAAATCATGAAAAATGGTCCAAAAATAGTCTAAAATAATGAAAAACAGTCGAAAATGGCTTAAAATTCAAATTCTGAGATTTCCTGAATTCCCACTTTTCTAGGACCATTTTAACCGATTTTTTCAGTTTCCAGACCGAAAAAATTGCGGTTTTATTGATTTTTAGCCTAAAAATCGATAAAATTGACCCAGAAATCATGGGAAATGATCTGAAATTGGTCAAAATGGTCTAAACCTGGTCAAGATAGTCTAAAGAGGGCTCTAAATGAATCGAAATTTAGCGATTTTGGCTCTTCCGGGGGGCAATTTCAACCGATTTCACCCGATTTTTTCAGTTTCCAGACCGAAATTTCATGATTTTTGACGATTTTTAGCGTAAAATTAGTCGAAAATGACCCGAAAATCATGAAAAATGACTCAAAAGTCATGAAAAATGAGTCAAAAATGGTCGAATGGTCGAAAATGACATAATATCAAAATTTTGTAATTTTCAGATTTTCGACGTTTCCGGGGCAGTTTTTACCGATTTTTCCACTTTCCAGACTGGAATTTCATGATTTTCGACGATTTTTAGCCTAGAATTGGTCGAAAATGACCAAGGAATCATGGAAAATGGTCGAAAATGGCTTAAAATCAAATTTTTCAGGTTTTAACATTCCCCGGGCACTTTTAACCGGTTTTTTAATCGATTTTTCCACTTTCCAGGACCTAAAACAGCGATTTTCATCGATTTTCAGCCTAAAAATCGATATTTTGCTAACTTACAAGCCGCGAAAATTTTGTAATACGCCGAATGTGGAGGTACCAGGCCCAAAAACGGGATCATGTAGTTTATGGCGAAGAAAACGGTCAGCACCCGGGAAGCGAACAGAACACACTCCATGGTGTTCGCAGAGACGTATTGCTGAAAAAATTTGGCTGAAAATGGTCAATTTTGAGCTAAAAATCCAATTTTTTCCAGGTTTATTTGGTCACAAATGGCTGAAAATCGCCATTTTTGCCACCAGAAAACCAAAATTTTTGCATTTTTCTCACCGAAATCGATGAGTACGCTGGTTGGCGTGCCGATGAGCTTGAAGTCCCAGCTCCAGACGACGTGGATTGATGATCATCGGGCTCTTCGACGATCTCAACCATTTTTCACCTGTAAATCATGATTTTTTGGGTTTTGTAACTGAAAAATCGAGAAAAAACGAAAAATTTCGGTACAGAAACCGGTTAATCAACGTGGATTAGGTTTGGAAGCTTCTGGAACCTTCCAGAACCTAAAAAATTCGAAAATTCGATTTTTTCCCTATTTCACGTCTTCTAAATAGCTTCCAAATGCAAAAAACATGAAAAAAGGTTTCTGTGGAAACCCTTTTTTAGAATCTTCTCGAGAGCCCAGACACAGAGCACTCAATAACACTTGACAAAGTCTGCAAACACCATGACGAGAACTTGCGGAACTCCCTAATATTTATTTAGAAGGAAAATTTAGTCTAAAATTGACTGAAATTGCTCTGAAATCGTCTGAAAATCAGCTAAAAATGTCTGAAACGATGAAAAATATTTGTTCGTAAAGTTCAGTGCACTCTGTACGCAGCGTACACCGTTACGACAAAATGCACAGGGCTTAAATTTCGGTTTTTTGAAAATTGAAAAAAGTATTTTTCGCTAGATTTAGGCAGTTTTTCGGGGTTTTTTTTATCGTTTCAAAGGTTAAAAATTAAATTTTTAAGCTTTTAAAACCTATAATTTGTCATAAAATGCTAGAAATGCCCAAAATTTTCGGTTTTTTTTCCAAAAAGTTTTTCCTCGATTTTTGCGATTTTTCACAATTTTCAGAGGTTTTTTAGGTTTTAAGGTCGAAATTTGCATTTTCGAGCTTTCCAAACTTATATGCAGCTCTGAAATCCTTGAAATTTCCGATTTTTTTCCAATTTCTTCAAATTTCCAGAATGTTAAACATTGCCAACACCATCAGAAGCACCCTGCTCCGTTCTAAAACCCGAAACGTCCGAACCCTGGCGGCAACAGTGAATCCCGCCGAGCAACAGCAGGTTCAAGCCGTCCTACCCGATAAGCTCTATAGCTCCATTGAAATCGAGTATCGTGGACACGACAAGGCCGTGCTGAAGTCCTATACGACGTTTTTGCAGGTAAAATTTGGAAAAATCGCAATTTTTCGACCCAAAAATCATTTTTTCCCGGGAAAATCGGATTTTTCAAAATTTTCCAGAAAAATCGATATTTTCAGCAAGTCTGCAAACATCTGGAAATTCCTCAAGGCCGTCTAGAAGTGCTACCGTACATCAGATGGGTTCAACCGGCGCTCCGCTCGAAATTCGTCCATAAAAAGTACAAATTGCACTATGAGACGAGAACGCATATCACAAAGCTTGAAGTGAGTGAAATTATGCTGGAAATGAGCGAATTTGGCTGAAAACGGACTGAAAATTCGAGAAAATCGCAAAATTTCCGTTTAGAAGTCGATTTTTTGAATTTCAGGCCTAAAAATGGTCAGGATTCGAAAAATGTCCCAAAATGGGCTGAAAATCGAATTTTCAGCAATTTCAAGCCTAAAAATTCGAGAAAATCACAATTTGTCAGTCTAGTAACCTTGAAAATCGATATTTTCAGCTCAAAATTGACTTTTTCGCTCAAAATTTGAATTTTTTCCAAAAATTCTGAAAATATCGATTTTCAGCCCTAAATTCTCCCAATTTTTCTGCAGATTCTCAACGTAACCGGCTCCACAGCGTCGACATTCCTCGAGTACATCGAGCGGAACATTCCAGAAGGCGTCGGCATGCGCGTCGGCTTCACCGAGCTTCAACCCCTCCCGCTGACCATTCAAAATTAGATTTTTCCCTATTTTTAGCTATTCTTTGATTGTTTTTGACCCATTTTTCGATTCTCCACGTGTATTTTCTAGAGAAAATAGTGTTTTTTGACCTGAATAGCTCCTTTTTTGTTAATTTTTTTTTCGAAAAAATTGTTATTTTCCTCTTGCGCGTCAGTTATAGGGCAAGGTCCGCAATGACACTTTGCGCGTCAGGTATGGTGTTTTGTCGGTAAAGAAGCTCATTTTTAGTCATTTTTGGGCCATTTTAGGTCTATTTTAGACGATTTTGAAGAAGAAATAGGGGGAAAAAAGGTTCCGATAATTTATATTCGGGAAAAAGAATGCTTTGAGACCAGAAAAACAGGAGAAAAATAGATAGGAAACAAGTAAAAAAAAAGCGGGAAATTTAAAATCTGCCTCCGCCTCCTTGTCGATTATAATGATTCGCCGAGTTCCGGTCGGCGCCACCACGATGGCGATTCTGATAATTCTGAGTGCCACGTGGCGTATACGGTGGATTGGAATAGTGATTCTGGTGATTCTGATGACGTCTAGAAGGTCCACCGCCACCAGAACTGGAATTTCCATAGGACGCGGGGGCGGAGTTTCGAAGATCGTGACGCATTTGATGAATGAAGTGTTGATGGGGAAGCATGGAGCTTTCCGGGGACTTGAATTGCTGGTTTTGAGGGGTGTGATTACCTGAAAATCGATATTTTGAGGTGAAAATAGCCTAAAAATAGTGAAAAAAAAATGGTCTAAAACGGCTCAAAACCCCAAAAATGCATTTTCGGGATCAAAAATTGGTTTCGCCGATTTTAGCTCAAAATTAGCTATTTTTGACGATTTTCAGCTATTTTAGTACGAAAAAAAAATACTACCTATTTTTCTCTATTTTTGAGGTCGAAATTACTCATTTTAACATGTTGTTAGCTCAAAATCACTTGTTTTTAAGCCAAAATTCGTCATTTTTGATGATTTTTGAGCCAAAATTCGTGAATTTTGACGATTTTCAGCTCAAATTTAGCCGTTTTAAAGCTATTTTAGGGTCAGAATCCCGATTTTTTCACGTTTTTGGGACTAAATCAGTCGTTTCAAAGCAATTTTTGAGCAAAAATTCACGACTTTTGGACGATTTTTAGCTTTTTTTTTCATTTTTGGGTCAAAATTAGTCGTTTTAAAGCTGTTTTTGGGTTAAAATAGGCCAATTTTTGACTATTTTTAGCTTAAAATAACCCTTTTTTGATGATTTTTGAGCCAAAATTCTTCAATTTGTGATGATTTTAACCTTAAAATCACAAATTTTGACGATTTTTAGCTCAAAATTAGCCATTTTTCTCTATTTTTGTATCAAAATTAGCCCTTTTTGAGTCAAAATTCATGAATTTCAATGATTTTTGAGCCAAAATCAGTCGTTTAATAGCAATTTTTGCGTCTAATCTAGTCATTTTTCGTCATTTTTCATTATTTTGAGATCAAAAACCCTACCGGATCCTCCTCTCCAATTGTCTTCTCCTCCATTGAACGAGTGATTCTGATGATGACGTGGCTGGTGCATTTGTTGTGATTGCGATTGATGCTGTTGCCACGATGAATCACTTCGACGGCGGCTGCTACGATCGTTGTCTCTAGAGTCTCTGGAAAATCAAAAATCATGAGAAATAGTGTGGAAAATCGAGAGATTTAGAGAAAAAATCGCCAATTTTGCTGATTTTCTGGTCTTTTAGAGCCCTTTTTAGGCCTAAAAACAACAAAAAATCCAATTTTCCCTATGTTTCTCTATATTTTGGCAGTTTTTTTGGTATAAGAATTGACGGGAAATGTGAAAATTCACATCATTTCCACTAGCTGAAAATGAAGGCTTTCTTGGCTCTATTCGCGTTGATCGTCGTTGTCGCCGGACAAGGACAGGTAATTAGGGGTAATTAGGGGGTAATTAACGCTGAAAATGGTTAATTTCGACCTGAAAATCGTGGAAAAATGAAGCATTTTGAGCCAAAAACGACATTTTTTAGTCAATTTAAGGTCAACAAATTGAAATTTTCATGATTTTTGAGTCATTTTTCATGATTTTTGAGTCATTTTTCATGATTTTTGAGTCATTTTTCATGATTTTTGAGTCATTTTTCATGATTTTTGAGTCATTTTTCATGAATTTCGAGTCATTTTTCATGATTTTTGGGTCAAAATTTCGATAGAAAAGCAAAAAAATCGTTTTTTAAAGGGACGACCACCATTCTTCGGTGGTGGTCGGCGAAGCAGTGAGGATAGCCGAGATTCTCGTGAAATTTTCCCAAGAAATAATTTCCAGATCAACTTCAACGGAATCGGACAAATTCGCGGATTTGGTGAGTTTCTTTTTTGGTCGAAAATCGGTCGGAAATATCACTATTTTCAGCCTAAAAATCTCTTTTTTAGCCCAAAAATCAGTCAACATCAGTTTTTATGTAAAAAATCGCTGAAAAATCGCTTTTGAGCATTTTCAAGCTAAAAAATTGGTCAAAAATCACGATTTTCAGCCTAAAAATCGCAAAAAATCATGATTCTCATGTCGAAAACGGTCAAATTTGATGACTTTTGGCTCCGAAATTGCTCATTTTTAGCTTAAAATCGATCAAAAAACATGACTTTTGTGTCAGAAAAAATCAAATTTGATGATTTTTAGCCTAAAAATCGCCTTTTGGAGCATTTTCTGGACTGAAAATCAGTCAAATTGATGATTTTAACCCTTATAACGCCCAAAGATCCTTCCAGCGTGCTCCACAGCCGCCTCGTTCACCACTAGCATCGACGGAACCACCACCACCGCTCGTTGTACTGATAACGGAGCTGATCCAAGTGTCAGATGTCCCGGATGCTGTAGATCGGTGGCTCTGGCCGCCGGACGCTCCGCGGTGAGTCAAAAACCCAGAAAAAATGCTTAAAATCAGAATTTGGGTCAAAATTCGCTGTTTTTGAGGGTTTTTTAGGTCAAAATCACTAAAAATCGTTATTTATGGGTCAAAAATTCCAGATTTTCAGCCAAAAAAACTCTCAAAATATTGATTTTTCTCGTTTTTAAGGGGTTTTTTCGGCTGAAAATTAGCTAAAAATCGCAATTTTTGGGACAAATTTTCACTGGAAATGCGATTTTTCCGTCAAAAACCAGTCAAAAATCTTACTTTTTGAACATTTTTTAGGTTCAAATTCGCTAATTTCAATGAGTTTTTGGATTAAAACCCTTAAAATCCCATTTTTCAGGACAACGCCGCCGGCTTCCCATCGACCAACGGCCGAAGTTGCGTTTGCTGCATTCGTTAATAAATTTCTTGATTTTTTCGATAATAATAAATTCATTTTTCTCAATTTTTGAGCGATTTTGGACTATTTTAAGCAATTTTAGAGCCAAAATCATGATTTTGGTCAATTTTGGCTCAGTAATGTTTGAATTTGAAGGATTTTGGGCTATTTTGGACCATTTCCACCCATTTTGACACCCACCTGCCGCTTCTAGAGTCTCTAGGAACCCAGGAATCCCTGGAATCTCTCGAATTCCACTCTCCAAACCTCCGATCCCGTCCATCTCCTCCACTACGTCTTCTATCGCTTTGAACTCGGCCCTCCTCGACTTCCCGATGCAAACTATCGATTTCAGAGCGTTGTCGGCGGAAAGCTTCCTCTTGTCTCGTATTATTTCGAGGTTTCACCTGAATTTCGCGGTCAAACAAGCGAATCCCGTGCAAAATCTTGATAGCAAAGATGACTGATTCCTCGTCCTGAAAATTGTGCGTTTTTTGAGCCCGAAATCAACTTTTTAGGCCAAAATTTGTTAAGCCTAAAATGGCATAAGACCACTTTTTTCGGGTCAAAAATGGCCAAAAATCATTAATTTTCCCTCGAAAAATTGCTAAAAATTACCTCAAACTCCACTAGAGCAAATCTAGCTGTCGAGTCTCTCACATTTCTCGTTATAACCTTCACAAGAGGTCCCGCCTGCAAAAATAGCTCTTCGAGCATGTCCTCGGTGACTTCTGGGGTGATATTTGCCACATAGACGGTTCGCTCCTCGGGCGGCGAGTCTCCTGGCATTTTTAACGCTGAAAACTGGGTTTAAAACTCGAAAAAAGCAAGAAAAACGGCAAAAAATTTAAGAAATAATTCAATTTCCCGACTTCCTATGCAAATGCGCTCTATGGCTACGCGCTAGAGAGAGCGAGACGTTAGAGAAACGTTAGCGCGTTTCTCGTGCCTCCTTGACGTCTTTCAGGTGCTTGGCGTCTTTCTTGTGCCACGTAGACTTCCAAAAAAGAATGATTTATGTCGACAGAAAAATAGGTTTTCAGAGATAAAAACATGGATTTTTAAGTTTTTTTGGTCCAAAAATCGAGAATCTATAGATTAAAAATCCTATCTTGTCGCAAAAGTCAGAAAAAAACTCCGAAAAATTTCAAATTTTCAAAAAAAAAATTTCTAAAAATTCAAAAAGGTGTGCAAAAAATCTTAAAGGGCTTTCAAGGACCCTTGAAAGCCAATCAAGTTTCTTCCTAAAAGTCATGAGATCTCGAAAAAAAAATCGATTTTTTCAATTTTTTGTTTTTTCTCTAAAGTGCAATTTTCTGTGTCAACTGATAACAGATAGCACTTTGAAGCATCAAATTTTGAGGTTTGATTCCACTTGTGAGCTGAACAAAGGCTGAAAAATTAAAAAAAAAATTTCTAAAAAAAAATTTTTTTTTTTAATTTTCCAAAAAAAAATTTTCTAACCCAAAAAATCGTTAAAAACGGCTTAAAAAGATAAAATTGACCTCTTTTTTGGCTTTTCTTGGGTCCCTAACCCCCAAAAAATCGATAAATCCCCCTTTTTTCCATATCTGACTTCTCTGGCACTCTCTCATCATCCCACACTCTCTCTTTCCCCATTTCTTGCTAATTATATGACAGCTGGAGAGTCAATTTCTCATAGGAATTTTCGATTTTTCCTCAAAATTGCTAAACCCCATCCAAAGTACAGTAGTCCAGTACCGGTTTTCCGCAATAGTACTCTTTTCTCTACGTCTCTCTAGCCCCTATACTCTCTCGCCTTCCCCCGAAAATCACCCGATTTTCGCCCCCCAAAGTTTGCCAACTCTTTTTTGTTAGCTCTCAGTTTTCTATGTGCTCCGTTACCTAAGATTTTGCTCTGTTTGCTCTGGAAATTTCGATTTTTGAGTCAATTTTTGATGAAAATTTACCTAAAATTGTCATTTTTAGAGTTAAAAATGGCCAAGAAACAGAAGAAGTCCTCTTCAGAAGTGCCCAAGAATGTGGAGTTTAAGGAGCCTCAAAAGGAGGAGAGGTAAGGGAAAAATTGGCTGAAAAATCGATATAAAATCGCTAAAAATCATAAAAATTGCTGGGAAAATAGCAATTTTTCGCATGAAAAATCGCTAAAATCATGAAAATTTGGCTCAAAATGGTCGAAATTCATCTTGAAAAATCCAAAAATATTTTTAAAATATGAATTTTCAGCCGATTTCTAGCTCATTTCAAGCTCAAAATAGCTCAATTTCCATGATTTTAGGCTTAAAAATTTCTTAAAATCAGCTAAAATTGGCCGAAAATTAAAGAATTTCGTGTCAAAAAATCTGAAAAAAAGGATTTTTAGTCATTTCTAGCTCATTTTATGCTAAAAATAGCTGAATTTCCATGATTTTTTGGCTCGAAATGGCGTCAAATTATCGAATTTCGACTGAAATTAGCCAGAAATAAAGTGAAAATCGTATAATTTTGACTTGAAAAATCCAAAAAACGCTGAAAAAAACCGGATTTTTGGTTATTTTCAGGTGGTTTTCGGCTTATAATTGCTCAATTTTCATGATTTTTAGCTTCAAATTGCTGAAAATCAACCTAAAATTACCAAATTTCGGCCTAAAATAGTCGAAAATGGGTTTAAAAATATCCAAAATCGGTCAAAATTTGTGGAAATTGTCTGAAAAAATCTGAAAAACGCCTGAAAAAATATGCATTTTTGGTCATTTCTAGCTGATTTTAGGCTTAAAATGACTCAATTTTTGATGATTTTCGGCCTGAAATTGCTCAAAATGACCGGAAAAACCACAGAAATGCTGAAAAATCGCGAAAAGCGGCTAAAAATGATCAAAGTTGGGATTAGAAAACCAGAAAACGCTGAAAAAAATATGCATTTTATTTATTTCTAGCTGATTTTTGGCTTAAAACAGCTCAAAATAACCTGAAAATCACCAAAATTTCGGCCTTAAGTAGTTCAAAAATCATGAAAAACTCATTTTTTTTCCAGCTAAGAACATGGCTGGCGTGCCTTCGGCGCTTTTCGGAAATATGATTTTTTTTTAATCATTTCTAGCTCATTTTAGGCTTAAAATGGCTCGAAATCATCTAAAAACACTGAAATCCGGCTTAAAATAGTTCGAAAATCATGAAAAATGCGCTGAAATTGATCAAAATTGAAAATCGCTCTCAAAAACCTCAGTTTCGGCGTTTTTTGGCCGATTTTGTTCATTTCTAGCTCATTTTTCATGATTTTCAGCTCAAAATATCAAATTCCGGCCCTAATATAGTCCGAAAATCATGAAAATCGACCCAACATGTCATAAATAAAAAATCGCTAAAAATACCTCATTTCTAGCGATTTTTAGCCGATTTTGAGCCTAGCTTCTAGCTCATTTTTTCTAGCTCATTTTTTGCAATTTTCGTCTCCAAAATGGCAAAATCGTCGAATTTTGGATGAAAACCAGTTGAAAAACATGAAAATTTGGCTCAAAATGGTCTAAAAATACCCAAAATCGGTCAAAAATTGGCTTTAAAATCCTTTTTTTAGCCGATTTCTAGCTGATTTTAGGCTTAAAATAGCTCAAAAAATCCGATTTTAAGCATATTTTGAGTCTAAAACGCCTATCTGGCGTTTTAGACTCAAAAATATCGCGATTTTCGTTTAAAATAGCTCAAAATTACTCAACTTTCACGGTTTTTGGCTTAAAACAACGCTAAGTTTGCAGACTAAAGCCAGCTGGTCGTGGAATGAAGCCCTCCCCATCCCAAAACACTCTGAATCGTCTGGAACGAGAAACGATCGTAATCTGGAAGAAGCCAATCACCACAATCTACTATGCGCTCATGGAAATTGCCAATCTCTCGATTGAGCTCTTCTTGAAGATCCTCTCCCACAAGTTCCTCCTGGGCCTCTTCTTCATTTCTCTCGGTCTCGCTATCTATGGCTACCGTACCCCGGGCGCCCATCAGGAGCATGTGCAAACCATTGAAAAACACATTCTGTGGTGGTCCTGGTGGGTGTTGTTGGGAGTACTGTCGTCGATTGGATTGGGATCCGGACTGCACACGTTCTTGATCTATCTGGGACCACATATTGCGGCGGTCACCATGGCTGCCTATGAATGTCAGAGTTTGGATTTCCCGGAGCCACCATATCCGGAGAGGTTAGTCATGGAAAATTATCTAAAATTCATAGAAATAATGGTCCAAAATTAGTCAGAAATGGCTAAAAATTGTTTCAAAAATTATGGAAAATGATGCAAATTTCACCTGAACGACCGAAAAATTGCAAAGAATAAACTAAAAATCATTGAAAATTGTCTAAAATTCGAAAAATCATGGAAAACGATCCAAAATCTTGAAAAAATGGAAATTCTTAGGCAAAAAATGATGAAAAATCGATATTTTTGGATCTTCTATATGGGAATTTCGACCATTTTTAGGCCAGAATTGATAGAAAATGGTTCAAAAATAGGCTGAAATAGTCCGAAAGTATCCCGAATTAGAAATGGTCCAAAAATCATGAAAAAATTGCCCAAAATCAGTAAAAAACGTTCTGAATTCATGGAAAATGACCCGAAAATCATGAAAAATGGCTCAAAAATCATGAAAAATGACCCGAAAATCATGAAAAATGACTCAAAAATCATGAAAAATGACCCGAAAATCATGAAAAATGGCTCAAAAATCATGAAAAATGACTCAAAAATCATGAAAATTGACTCAAAAATCATGAAAAATGACTCAAAAATCATGAAAAATGGCTCAAAAATCATGAAAAATGACTCAAAAATCATGAAAAATGACTCAAAAATCATGAAAATTGACTCAAAAATCATGAAAAATGACTCAAAAATCATGAAAAATGGCTCAAAAATCATGAAAAATGACTCAAAAATCATGAAAATTGACTCAAAAATCATGAAAAATGACTCAAAAATCATGAAAAATGGCTCAAAAATCATGAAAAATGACTCAAAAATCATGAAAAATGACTCAAAAATCATGAAAATTGACTCAAAAATCATGAAAAATGACTCAAAAATCATGAAAAATGGCTCAAAAATCATGAAAAATGGCTCAAAAATCATGAAAAATGACTCAAAAATCATGAAAAATGACTCAAAAATCATGAAAATTGACTCAAAAATCATGAAAAATGACTCAAAAATCATGAAAAATGGCTCAAAAATCATGAAAAATGACTCAAAAATCATGAAAAATGGCTCAAAAATCATGAAAAATGACTCAAAAATCATGAAAAATGACCTAAAAATAAGGCTAAAACGCCTGGAAATCAACCAAATTAACCTTAAATGACCTAAAAATCATATAGAACTGGTCCAAATAGTCACAAATGATCTAGTAAATCCCGAAAAATTCGTTGAAAATTGTCTTAAATAGCCAGAAATAGCCTAAAAATGACTCAAAAACCATGAAAAATGGACTTGAATGGCCTGAAACAAGCCTAAAAGCGACCCAAAAATCAATAGAAATTGTCAAAAAATACCGGAAACGGTCCGAAATCCATGATAATACGCCATTTTCTGTGATTTTTGAGCGATTTTCAGCATTTTTATGCCTATTTTCACCCACTAAGCCCTTCAAATTTGACCATTTCTCCCAATTTTCAGCCCTAAAACCCTTAAATTTTATAGCATTCAATGCCCCTCGACAAAATCCTCGATAGCAGTGACATTCTGGCAAATTGTTGCCAAAGTCCGAGTGGAATCCCTCCTCTGGGGTGCCGGAACAGCTCTAGGCGAGCTTCCACCGTATTTTATGGCTCGGGCGGCACGGATTTCCGGTCAGGAGCCAGATGATGAGGAGTATCGAGAGTTCTTGGAGTTGATGAATGCGGATAAGGAGCAGGACGGAGAGCAGAAGCTTAGCATGGGAGAGAGGATTAAGGTGAGAGTGAAAATAGCTCAAAATAAGCCCAAAAATGATTGGAAAAGGGCTAAAAATGAGCCTAAATAGCTCAATAATTGCCCTAAATTAGTAAAAAATCGTCTAAAATAGGCTTAAAAAGCCCTAGACGGCCCTAAATTCGAGCTTAAAAATGAAAAAAATTATGAAAAACAGTCTGGAATAGGCCTAAATAGCTGAAAAATGATCCAAAATGACCTTAAATAAGTCTAAAAATGGTATGGATCGGCCTCAAAATGGTCCAAAATAGCATTCGAATGTCTTAAGACCATCCTGAAAGGTTTAAAATGACTTCAAATGGCCTAAAACTAGCCTAAAATAGACCAAAAATGGCTTTAAATACGCCTAGAATGCTCTAAACATCGGATGATTTCAGCTATTTCAGCTCATTTTCAGGCATTTTAATAGTTGAAAATACGCCTGAATAGCTTGAATTTAGCCTATAAACAAGCCTAAATAGCTCAAAAATAGTCGAGAATAGCTGAAAATAAGCCTGAAAATGATCCAAATGGCATGAATTAGCTTCAAAAATTAGTCTGAACGCTTTTTAAATAACTTTAAATCGCTTGAAAATGGTCCAAAAAGGCCTAAAAATGCCATAAGAGCTCAAAAATGAGCTTAAATGATCCAAAAAAGCATGTGAAAATGGTCTAGAATACGCACCGAAATTCGATTTTCAAGCTATTTTTCCTATTTTCAGAGTTGGGTGGAGCACAACATTCATCGTCTCGGCTTCCCTGGCATCCTTCTCTTCGCCAGTATCCCGAACCCCTTGTTCGACTTGGCCGGAATCACGTGCGGACACTTTTTGGTGCCATTCTGGAGCTTCTTCGGTGCCACACTGATTGGAAAAGCGCTGGTTAAGATGCATGTGCAGGTAAGAATCGAAATTTCGTTAAAAAATGGTCTAGAATGACCTAAAATAGCTGGAAATAGGCTGAAAATAGCTGAAAATTGACCCAAAATAGTTTGAAATAACAGTAAAAATGTCCAATAATGCTGAAAATCGTGTCAAAAACGGCGATTTTAGACTGAAAATGGCGCGTTTCCGCTAAAAATTAAGCAATTTTTGACCCAAAAATCCACTTTTTGGAACTATTTTTTCACTGGAAAATGACGATTTTTAGGGATTTTTAGCTGATTTTTATCGATTTCAAGTGGATTTTAACGATTTTTGACCCCTTTTTTAGCATTTTTGGCTAAATTTTCACCTATTTTGAGTCATTTTCAGTTCCTTAGACCCCCCTATTTTCAGCTTTAAAAGCTAATTTTTCAGATGGGATTCGTGATTCTGGCATTCAGCGACCATCATGCCGAGACATTTGTCAAATTACTCGAAAGTGTAGGTTTACTTGTTCTTCTTGGGACCAATTTATATGCAAATTGGCCTTTTTCTACAGATTCCCGCCGTCGGACCACACATCCGCAAACCGATTAGTGATTTATTGGAGAAGCAGCGGAAGGCGCTGCACACGACGCCCGGAGAGCATAAGGAGCAGGTACGGTAGACAGGAAATTCCAGAAAAATCGAGGAAAAAAGAGCAATTTAGGCTTGAAATTGGCTAAAAATGGTAGTTTTTTGGGCTCGAAATTGGCTAGAAATGACGATTTTCGCAGCGGAATTGGCTTAAATTGCTCATTTCACCTCTAAAAATGTGTTGGGACACTCCAATTTAGGCTAAAATTAGCTGAAAATGAGCCACTTCATGCTAGAAATGAGCAATTTAGGCTAAAAATTGGCTGAAAACGAGCGATTTTGAGCTCAAAAGCGGCAAAAAATGATAGGTTTTTTTTGGCTGAAATTAGCTGAAAATGACGATTTTGAGCTCAATTTTTGACTGTTTGGACAGCTGAATCCGCTTAAATTGCTCATTTTCTATGCTAGATAGCCTGAAAAGCCTGAAAATGGCTCATTTTGACGCGGGTTTTGGCTGCAAATTGCTCATTTTCAGGCTGAAAATTTCAGCCTAATTCCAGCCCCCAAATCCAAATTTCCCGGTTTTCAGAGCACAAACCTGCTGGCATTCGCTCTCTCCGCGATGGTTACTGTAATGATTCTGTTCTTCTTCCTCTCCATCGTGAATTCACTCGCCAAGGACTATCATAAGCGTCTGTGGGAGCGGAAACGACGACTGAATAAGGTGGAGTAGGTATAGAGACAGCGCGGACATCCGGACACTAAGAACACACAGACAGATGATTTTTCACTTTTTTTTATTTTAAAATTCCAGAAAAAACTAGCCAAAATTTGCTTGATTCTGAAGCATTCCAGAACATTTTTTATTGATTTTTTAGAATTTTCTCTAAATTCAGACTTTGACGGATGAGGAGAATCAGAAGTTAGAAGAAGAAGAAGGAGAAGATGTGGATTCTGAAGACGTGCCTCCATCGATTACGGTATCATCGATGTGTCCATTGTTAGGAAACGAAGAATCCAAGGAGAAGGAGCTATTTGAAGGCGTTACTGTTGTTAGGAGCTGAATATTCTAGAAATTTGACTGAAATTTTGGCGTTTTTTGGGCTGAAAATGCTTAAAATTGACGAAAAATGGAATTTTTTAGCCGTTTTTCTGGACGAAATCGACTGAAAATGAGATGTTTTCGGCTTGTAATGACCTTTTTCTAGCTAAAAATGGCTAAAAATTGCCTACTTTGACTCAAAAAATGGCTGAAAATGACATTTTTGACTGAAAATCCAATTTTTTGAGGTTTTTTGACTGAAAATTGATGAAAATGACCGTTGTTTTAATGGAAAATGGGATTTTTTTGGTCATTTTTAGACATAAAATTGCGTATTTTGACTGAAAAAAAATAACTGAAAATGAACCATTTTTATCTAAAAATCCAAATTTTTCCGGTCCATTTCCAGTGAAAATTGACAAAAAAAAATGTGATTTTTAGCAATTTTCTGGCTAGAAATAGAGTTTTTTGGCTGAAAAATGTCCCCAAAAAGTCGATTTTTAGGCATTTCTTGCCCTATTTCTAGCGAAACATTTCATTTTCCGTCGATTTTCAGTCATTTTTAGCGCGTTTTCAGCCATTTTCAGCCCCAAAAAAACTAATTTTGCATGAGCACGCCGTACTCACACACACACATTTATCCTTATTTTTTGATCTCAAAAATGCATTTTTGAATTTTTTGAAAAATTGAAAAATTTGAATTTCCCCCCTTCAAATAACACCTACTCTCCTTCTTCTTCTTCCGGATAACAATACACACACACACACATTGGCACGCGGTGGTGGCTGGAGCGCACGTCTTCTGAATCTTCTGAATCCCACCTCCCCTCTTCTAATTCTAATTCTTCAAAATTTCGTCTAATTTCAATTTTTACCCCCCTTTTTCCATGAGAAAAATTGGTCAAAAATGAGTGGAAAAATCGATTTGTAGCGATTTTTAAGCTTAAAAATGCGATTTTTCGGTGACTTTCGAGTCTAAAATCGTTAATTTTGACGAATTTTGAGCTTGAAAATGGCCCGAAAAAATTGATTCTCGATGATTATTGAGACTAAAAATCGCTGAAATTTCGCGCATTTTTTGGCTTTTTGCTCAAAAATAGCCGAAAAATCGATTTTTCGGCAATTTTTGTGCTTAAAAAATGGGCTCTTTTGGGCTCGAAATATAGCTAAAAATCAGTGCATTTTGATGATTTTTTGCTCTTTTTTTTGGCTTGTAATTTATCGATTTTTCTTCATCTTTGACCATTTTTTCATCCCGATTTTTCCCTGAATTTTTCGTTGTGCAATTCACTTGTTTCCCCAAAAAAATTCCCCCAAAATTTCCCCAAAACCATTGATTTTCTTTTTTTTGTTGTGATTTTTTTTATTCCAAAAATCAATTTTTCCCCTTTCATTTCGCCCCTTTTTCTTTCTCTGTAATTTTTATATATATATATTTTGTATTCAAAATAATCGCGTTTTAGATTTCCCACAATGAGAGCTTCAAAATGAGTATAATCATGACTATATTCAGTGAAGTTCGAATTTTGACCTTAAAAGCGCACGGGAGTCGCAAAAGGAGTCAAAAAATCAAATGGCTGGAAGTAGTTCATGATCATACTCGTTTGAAAGCGCTGAACTTGATAAATTCAAAAATATAAGTTTTATCCT